TCTGTCAACACGCGAGTCATCGAGGAGTTGTTCCATTGAGTCGAGAATGCCTTGAGTGGTCCTATGGATCACTCCCACCTTGATGGCCCTTTCTTCGCCGATGAGATCAAGGTGGTGGTTAAGTTCATGCCCTTGACAAGGCGCCAAGGTTGGATGGGTTCATGGGGCGCTTCTGTTGCTCCTGCTGGCATATCATCAGAGAAGACATCATACACTCGTTTGAGCAATTCTACAATGACACTAATTCATTCTTTCTTAGAAACCTTTATTTTTATTTTTTTTATCTCGTGTCTTATTAGGCATCAAGTATGTTATGTTCAGACCAAGCCCAAGTATCCGGTAGGCTTTTGTTTTGTGGTTGCAAAGGGCCCAATGCTCTTACAAAAAAAAATTGACTTACCCAAATTAGTTCAAGTCATTTATGATTCTGTTGCACTAAAAAAAACAACTTAATCTTTTTAATAGGGGTAAAATCGACTTACTCAAATTTGATTTTAGACGACTTGCCCTTGGGCAGTCCCATTTTCTTATGGTCATCCACGAGCCCATATGAACTACATCTGTCTTGGAGACATGTACTAGCATTTATCTCAAAAAAATTTAGGATTTTTATAACTACCAAACGTTTAGATTTTAGCAATAGGCAAGAACGATTCTTACTTCACTCTAATTATATACATGCATGCATTAGAATGACTAATTTTTCTTTCACGTGCACTCCCTTCTCTAATTACATGTATATATGCACTAAAGGACGAAAAGCTGATGTCATTCTAGATTCTTTCTTTTTTTCAAACTTCAAAATATTTTGTAGCTCAAACCGTCACCCCGATTAAAAAACCGTCTTCACAAAAAAATCATCTTGACGATATCTTTGAAACTAGATCATATATTGATATGTTTTCATAACTTTTTTTTCGGACCAAAAGTTACCACGTCCGTGACTTATCACGTCTGTCATACATAAGTTACCGTGTCATTTACACAAAAGTTTTGGGGTATGTTTTCAACAAACTTTTATCCCAGGGGTCAAAAAGTGATTATGATGTTTGCAGCGAGTTATCAGGTTTCTTGTGTATACTACCATCTTGCACAAAGGTTATCAAGGGTATCTTTTTCAACAATTTTCATTCCCTCGGTCAAAAAATTACCGCGATATTTGTATATGAGTTATCAGCTCTCATGTGCGTGTATTATCATGTTGTTTACACATGAGTTATTGGGAGGTATTTTTTAACAACATTTTTCCATGTTATCAGCTCATGTTTTTTACACGAGAAGTTATCAGTGGTATGTTTTCAACAAATATATTCACGTCAAAATTATCGTGGTGTTTGTACCTAAGTTATCAGGACCGAGAGCCTATATTATCATGCTATTTACACAAAAAGTTATCAGAGTATGTTTTCAACAACTTTTTCTCACGGGTCAAAGTTATCATGGTGTTTGTACCTAAGTTATCAGGTCCGAGACCCTATATTACCATGTTATTTACACAAATGTTACCGGAGTATGTTTTCAATAACTCTTTCGTACGGGTCAAATTTATCGTGGTGTTTATACCTAAGTTATCAAGTCCGAGAGTGTATATTCTCATGCTATTTACAAAGAAGTTATCAGTTGTATGTTTTTAACAAGTTTTTTCATGGGTCAGAGTTATCGTGGTGTTTGTACCCAAGTTATCAGGACCGATAGCCTATATTATCATGCTATTTACACACACAAAAGTTATCAGAGTGTTTTCTCAACAACTTTTTTTCGCGGGTCAAAATTATCGTGGTGTTTGTACCTAAGTTATCAGGTCCGGGAGCCTATATTATCATGTTATTTACACAGATGTTACCGGAGTATGTTTTCAACAACTTTTTTCCACGAGTGAAAGTTATCGTGGTGTTTATTCCTAAGTTATCAAGTCCCGGATCGTATATTATCATGCTATTACAAAGAAGTTATCGATGGTATGTTTTCAACAACTTCTATCCATGGAGGCAAAGTTATCGTGGTTTCTGTACCAAAGTTATCAAGTCCAGGAGCCCGATGACATGTATTGGTTGCGTGCTCTGGTCTTTGAATGGAGGATTGTGTGCTCCCATTTCAATCCTCTTAATTTTCTAGCCCATTATTTACATTCCTCTGACAAGGTAGAAATGGGAGCAAGACAACGAGACATACTACCATAATGGAGAGAGGCAATAGCGTTTTTAATACTATATATAAAAACTGCCTACTATAATCAACGGGCTATTTAAAAGCATAAAATTAGGGTGTAAGACAACAACAGAAAATTAAGTGAGCAGGTTAATGGGCCAGAGCTTAGTTACGAGAGACTCAGGGGTCCGAGTCCAAAGGCGCCACACACACACACATCAAATTTATTTTTTAGGTTTTTTGGCTGTAGATGCAAAGGAGTAGTAATACGATAAAAGGAGATGTAACATATCAGTAACCACATAAAAGACTTAGCTAGGCTGGTTACCGGTAGCAGAATGCACGTTGCAGGTGCAAGGATTGATTCCCTTGGCTGCTCTTTTTTTTGCGAAAAATGAAAAGCGGGCGGATGGTGGATCAATGGAGCCGATCAAACTCAGCGCCGGTTCGATTCCGGCTCGTGACATGAAGAAGAAGTCCCAAACAGGGATCAGATGAGTTTGCACAGCGTTACTTTGTTGACGGAAAATCAAATTGTTCTTCCAGTTCAATGAAGACTATGCTTACTTTCCTTTCTTTTACCGGTCTGTGTTCTATCATGGACTTATATTCCGTTCCTCAAATCGAGACTTTCTTTTGGTATGATTTTGATACGAGTTTTCTATCAAAACTCTATGCCATCAATCACTATCCCGATCTATTGACAAGGTGAGAACGTTTGGAAATTACAAATATTGAAAAATTTAATACTATCTTATTTACTTATTTCTTCTTCCTCACCAAGAAGTACTCATCAACTCAACTTGAGATAGCTGACAAGATTGTTTTGAATTGGAAAATTGTGTTGGCCTTTTTCTGGGCGTCCTTTTGAAACGATTCAAGACTCGCAAGCCGCTCGCCACGGCCAGGGGCTAGAGGAGAAATAATATTATGTCGATGCAAAAAACAATCACCCTAAGATAGAGTACAAGATTATTTTAGGCAGAGAACTTGAAAGAAAATATTATTTTAGGCAGACGCGTCAGGGCGCGCTGCCTCCCACGGGAGGGGCAGGAATTCACCGGCGGCAGGGGATCTCAGCCGTCAGATGCCCCCATCCGCCCTCACATCAACCGTCCCATCACCACGACATGGCTCCCCACCCACCGGCTGGCGTCCGTCCGTCCTACCGTCCGTCAGGCTCTCAGCCGGACGTACCACGGCAGGCGAGGCCCAGCCGCGTACCGCAGGTGCCGCAGGCCATACATAGCCCCCCTAGCGGGTGGAGCCTTGCTCACACGCCGCGGATTCCGATCGACCCAACCCGGCATGCAACCCGCGGCCTCCCCCCTCCTCATCCCCATCCAATTTTCCCCAGGCATATCGCCATTACTGAAACTGAGCCAGCCAAAGCTTTTTCTTCCCCCACTCTCTCTCCGCCAGGACTCCGGTCAAATCTGAAACTCTTCCCACCGCTCCACGAGGCAGAAAGGCCCAGGAATCTCGCCTGCGATGCCACCCCCCATGCTGCTGCTGCCAGCACCACCAGCCTCGAGTGAAAACTGGGGCACTACTGTATTGCAGCAAAGCTGGGGAACAGTGCTGGCGCTTGCGGCAAATCCTAGTACTGTTGTAGAGCAGCACGGTCGCAATACCGCAGGAGAGGATCTTTGAACAAAAAAGCTGTTCTACCACCACCACACACCTAGCTATGGCAGAGCGTGTGTGCCTTGAGAAAAGATCCTTTTGGCAAGGCTGGCACGAGTCCAAGAACACACGCTCATTCAAAGCCTCGCCCAAAGCAGCAGCCGCTGGGACGCTGGACGGAGAGAGAGAGTAAAGAGGAGATCATGGTGTAGCATTGAGTGAAGAAAGGCGGAGATAAATCAGTAAACCAGCAGCGGGGGGTGGGGGGGCAGGCAGCGGCCACATGGGCGCGACGCAGCTTTGCCAGCTGCTCCGGCGCCGAGCGAGAGGCTTTGTTTAAGCCCTCGCTGTTTCAGAAACAGTGGCCGGCCTGCAGCTACATGTGTTTTCAATTGCTTTCTCCGCTGCCCCTTTTGCCTGCTACGAGCAGTAGTATAATTTTGTACACAGAAACTTAGAGCCGCGCACATGCTGCTGGGCTCACAGCGCCCGATCGCCGGCTCACACGGAGGAGAGGGAGGAGAGCCGCTCCGGCCCGGTCTCCCATCCTCGCCTAGCCTGCCTCCGATTTAAACGGCCAGCGTCTCCATCGAGTTACCAGCAGTCACTCATCACCGGCCACGAAAAGTTCCCCCCAAAAAGCCACCATTGTGCAACTCTTCTTTTTCACCAGGTCCACATGGCACCGTGATTAAACCCACACCCTTTTCCTCCGACTTTTTACAGGGAGCGATTAAGATACTGACAATAGGGTAACTACAGCGTACATGGATTTTGGCAGTGCAAGAACAGACAACAATAACGCCGTCAGGCCACCAGAATAGTTCGGAAATCTCTTTCATATCTTTTCTCCTATTGCTTAAGAGTTCACAACGAACTTGCCATCGAATGTGCTTGGAGAAACAGAACACAAAGTGAAGAGGAAAAAGGATGGTGAAGCACATTAGACAAAATTTACATGGGGAGGAGCAAAATGCACAGCATGAACATGGGGCTCTAGCCTAGCCAGCTTCTCCTAAAGACAAGCACAAAAAATCAGAGCTCACAGTATTCTCTTCGATCTTGGGATCTCTTGTTCACTCCAAATCCAAACTAGCTATCACTCTCAATCTTTTTCGTTCCCTTTTCTGCTAAAGGCAAAGGAAATGCTGCCTAGTGGTGTTACCTAATGGAGGCTACCTGATCTACCGCTAAACCTAGCTAGCTCAGTCAAAACAAGGTCAATTTCATTTGCCGGTGCCAAGACCTCTGCCACTCACGCTGCTTCCGCCGGTGGCGCCGGCGGGATGGGCCGTCTTCCGGCCGAGCGACGACCGCAGCCGCGCGGCTGCGTCCTTCGCCGCCGTCTCTTTCTTGTCCTTGAAGAACCCGAACGACGGCCGCGAGCAGACGGGCACGTTGAGCACCACCGGCGTGGAGTATGACCGGTCCATCACGCGCGAGCGTGACCGGAGGCTGGAGTGGACGCTGCCGGCCGGGGAGCTGGAGCTGCGCTCGAGCCCCTGGAACACGATCTTGCCGGAAGAGTTCATGCGCGGGGAGTCCACCGAGGCCACGGACGGCGGCGGCGGGGTGGCGGGCCGGCGACGGGCGGGGCTGTGCGCGGCATGCGGCGGGGCGGACGCAGGCGGGGGGCAATGGCGCTGCGGTGGGGCGGAGGCGGGCGGGTGGCAATGGCGCTGGGGTTGGGAGCGCACGAGCCGGATTCGTGGCTTCGGGGTGAGGTCGACCGAGTCGAGGGAGTGGCGGGGGAAGTCGTCGTGGTCGTAGGCGGACGAGGAGGAGGACGACGACATGGAGAAGCGGGAGGAGGCGAGGGAGAGGGACGCCTCCGAGTCCGAGCTGTCGCGGAGGAGCGGCGCCACGGAGAGGTCCGACGCGACGGCACTTGACGCGCGGCCGCCGTTCCGCTGGAGGAGCAGCAGCTTAAGGGACCTGGCCGCCGACGAGTTGGACGCTCTGGAGGGAGTCGCCGGCACCGGCGAAGGAGATTGCGGAGGCGACGGCGACGCGGACGGCTTCTGCGGGGTCTGGACCTTCCTGAGCCGCAGCAGCTCCCGCCAGCGGCTGGAGCACGTCGGCGCCTTGGGGGAGAACACGTAGGGGTCGAAGACCTCGGCCACCGAGGGCCGGTGGGTTTTCACCATCTCAGGCGCCGCCGGGATCTCCGCCGGCGCGCACTCCCGCTCCCGCTCGGCCTCCGGCGCCGCCGCGGACGCGGGCTGCGGCCGGAGGGGCAGCAGCTTCCCGTCTGCGAACAGCTCGTCGGCGGGGAGCATGGTGGCCGACCCGCCGAAGCTGAACTCGAAGTCGATGAACTCCTTGGACGCCGCCGCCGCGGTGGGCTGGTCCGCCTTGCAGCCGCTGCTCTCCAGCGACAGCGCCTGGCCGCGATCCGGCGCCACGGCAGCAGGCGCGTCGCGGCTGAAGGAGAGGCGCGGGCCGAGCCAGCCGTAGGAGACGGCGGCGGGGGCCGCGGCGGGCATGCTGCTGGCGACGGCGGATGCCATGGCGCATCCAAGGGCGGCAGGGCCAGGAGCGAGCGGGCAGTACACTGGTCACTGTACTTGGCTGCGGGTGTGGAGCGGAGCGGAGCGGAGCTGGTGGGAAGGGAAATGCCGAGACAGGGACGCACGGGTAAAGGCGCGCGTACATATATAACCTGGCGCGGTAATTTTTCTGACAGGCCGGGCCCAGCTCGCCGGGGCGGCTGTTTGAGGGGCCGACGCGTGGGGCCGACCCCTCGTGCCCTGCGGGTGGAGACGGGGAGTTGATCCGCGGTTAATATTTTTGACAGTAGGTTGGTGGCGCTACTCGACTAATTGTATAGTGCGGGAACAGTACACCTCTCTCAATCTTTGTGTCTGAATCTGGTAAAGGGAAATCGGTGTTGTTTTTGTCTGCATTTGGAGCCGCGTGTTGCGTTTAACAGACAAGCAAACGCCAAGACGGGCACGCTGCCTCTGCATGGAGCAAGCGGCAGTGATAATAATGTACTCCTAGTACGTAACGTTGCGTTTTGATCACGCCGCGACAAGGCAGATCTGCTCACGCAAGTGCTTAGAGCATCTCTAACAGAACTGGGACACTTTAAACTCAGCTCGTATCTAAGGCGGATATGATGCCGATTGAACTTATTTGTCATGTTATTTCCGACTGTCTCGATCCATCTCAAATCCTTTCAAATCGATCTGACCGATCCTTCTCTCTCCCGCGTCCGTCCTCTCTTACCCACGTTCGCTCCCCCTTTGCTCCACGTCCACGTCACCGACCTCCTTCCCCATTAGCCATCAACACCCCCTGCACTGCCCGCCCGCATCATGGAGAGTTGCTCGGCGGAGACCGTGGGGGTCTCTACCATTGGGGACAAAGCGGAGAACATTGGTCGCACGGAGTGGCGTGTCCGACAACACGCCCGAGGGAAGGCAGAGAATGTAGTTGTTGAGAAGGACACCGACGACATGGAGTTTGTCGCGGCCGTGGCCATGCACGCGCCCTACACCGTTCAGGGTTCGCAACGGCCACACACCTTGGATGGCTTCCCGCAGGAGTGAACACGTCCTCGGACCCGGCGCACAAGTCATCGCAACTCCAACGGTTGCAGACCACATCGGGATCTCCTGCGCCGGACATTCCCAGCAACTGTTCATGACGAGCTCCTTCAAATTATGAAATGGGTGATCAAAATTTGTCTGAGGCAATGATAGAACGACTAAAATAAAGGTGAAGGTAAGAGGAAATGCATTACTCAACCCTTGAATATATATAAACTGTTGTGTAAAGATTGGTTGGCCACAGGCATGAAGCTTGTTTTTGGAACCGAACAAAAGGGTTCACAGTATTTAGAAAAAAAAATATCCATGCATGGTGCCACAAACACAAGCACTACATGGAGTCGCGTTCAATCCTTATCACCTGTAGTGGGGGCTTTGTGCAACATAGATCGGACGCCATCCAAGAGTGTGTGAACGCATTTTGTGATTTCTACGCACAAGTGTTGAATGGGCACCAAAGTCGTATTGAAGTCGATAGCCATGTAAGTTTTGTCTGCTTGATATTCGCCATCATCCTTCTTGCTTGCTTCGTTTCTCGCATTATGTTGATGTGTGATTTTCACTTGCTAGACGGGTTCGCTGTTGCTTTGTACCATCAAGTTGAGAAAAGAAATCATTCAGTATGTTCCATCGTTGGATGCAATTGAATGAAAAACCGAAGTGATCAAACCTCTTTGAAATTAGGATAAATTAGAAAATAAATCTCAAGAAATTCGTCAAGAAGATGAACAACAACGATTACGTAAGCTCTTGCCGATCTATTGGATTGGATAACGACGATGAGCCAGGTGGAAGGGTAAACGGACATGGAACATGTAACAATCCCGAATTAATGGTAGCAATTAGGAATTAAGTATGTACCATAAGCATCATGTTTAATGAAAAAAAACATGTTAATTTGAAATTAGGATAATTCAACCCTCAAGTTTCCCTGAAATGCAAAACCCTAATTAAAACCCACTTCTAATAAAATTCATAGATCTTGATATTCAAATTGAGGGAATTCACGTGATGACTTATCTTGAGTACTTATATTTAGCCTGCCATTAATATTAGGAATTACCCACAACACACTCATAGTTGAAACCCCAAACTTAAATAAAAATGGATACATATTTTTAGAAACAAAAATATACACAAAAAATATCTTGAAATTACATCTGACTTGGACTAGCCCCTTTTCGCCACATATAAATTTTCAAGTTATTTGGTGTTGTTTTGGCTTTTCAAAAAAAACTAAAACAGAGTAGCAATTTGTTAAATCAGAATTGATTAGTGGCAGGTCAAAGTGCAATGATTAGATCATAGCACTGCCATCTTAGAATTGCCACCCACTTATGAGTGTAGTTGCAATTGGGCATTTCTATGACCAGTGCATCATAGAACTATTCAAAATACGTGAACATTTTTCCTAGGTTATTTGATAACCCATAAGTCTAGGGGATCGCAACAGTTTTCAAGGATAGAGTATTCAACCCAAATTTATTGATTCGACACAAGGGGAGCCAAAGAATATTCTCGAGTATTAGCAGTTGAGTTGTCAATTCATCCACACCTGAAAGACATACTATCTGCAATAAAGTATTTAGTAACAAAGTAATATGAAAGTAACAGCAACGGTGGCAGAAGTAATAGTAGCAAATTTGTAGCAATCGTAACAGTGGCTGCGGAAAAGTAACTTAGCAAAGATCAATATGAAACGAGCTTGTAGGCAATGGATCAATGATGGATAATTATATCGGATGGCATTCATCATGGAACAGTTATAACATAGGGTGACACAGAACTAGCTTCAATTCATCAATATAATGTAGGCATGTATTCTGAATAGAGTCATACATGCTTATCGAAAAGAACTTGCATGACATCTTTTGTCTTACCCTCCTGTGGCAGCGGGGTCCTATTGGAAACTAAGGTATATTAAGGCATCTTTTAATAGAGTACCGGACCAAAGCATTAGCACTTAGTGAATACATGAACTCCTCAAACTACGGTCATCACCGGGAAGTGTCCCGACTATTATCACTCCGGGGTTGTCGGATCATAACACGTAGTAGGTGACTATAACTTGCAAGATCGGATCAAGAACACAAATATATTCATGAAAACATAATAGGTTCAGATATGAAATCATGTCACTCGGGCCCTAGTGACAAGCAGTAGGCATATCAAAGTCATAGCAACATCAATCTTAAAACATAATACTAGGGATCAAACCCTAACAAAACTAACTCGATTACATGGTAAATCTCACCCAACCCATCACCGTCCAGCAAGCCTACGATGGAATTACTCATGCACGGCGGTGAGCATCACGAAATTGGTGATGGAGGAAGGTTGGTGATGATGATGACAACGATTTCCCCTCTCCAGAGCCCAAAACGGACTCTAGATCTGGCCTCCCAATGAAGAACAGTGGGTGACGGCGGCTCCGTATCGTAAAACGCGATGAATCCTTCTCTCTGATTTTTTTCTCCCCGAACGTGAATATATGGAGTTGGAATTGAGGTCGATGGAGCCTCGTGGGACCCACAAGACCAGAGGGCGCGCCCCAGGGGGATGGGCGTGCCGTCCACCCTTGTGGACAGGGTGTGGGTCCCCTCTGGTTGATTCTTTCGCCAATATTTTTTATTTATTCCAAAAATAATCTCCATGAAGTTTCAGGTCATTCCAGGAACTTTTATTTCTGCACAAAAATAACACCATGGCAATTTCTGGTGAAAACAACGTCAGTCTGGGTTAGTTCCATTCAAATCATGCAAATTAGAGTCAAAAGCAGGGGCAAAAGAGTTGCAAGAGTAGATACGATGGAGACGTAGCATTATCATGCATGCATAGTTGTCCTAGTTTGGTCCATTTGTCTCACTATGATCATGCAACAACGTAGCCCATTCATTGTCCTACCATTCTGGTCATAGCGAGAACACACTAACTAGCAATCCATTGCCCTCCGATTCTGATCATAGCAAGAAAACACTAACTAGCAATGCATTGTCCTACCATTTCTGATCATAGCAACAACACCCTAACTAGCAGTGCAAGAACTATCAATGAGGTCATACCAATAACACACTAACTAGCAATAACACAATAACTAGCAAGAACACCCTAATTAGAATTGTCGTGATAGCAAGTCGGTGTAAGGCAGTAACAAGAAGACCCCAAGCAGGAACATAGCATGGCCCCGAATCGATTGGAACTGAATCCAATTGACTGAAATCTAATCCAATCAATTCAGAACGAGGTAAACAAACTAACTACTAATGGGAGCACATGGAACAAATAGCTTACCGGTCCCGGAACGGTTGCCCGTGAAGTGAACGCCGACCATGGACTAAACCCTAGCAGGAATAGGGGTCCCGCTAAGGCCAATCCAAGAGCCATCGCCACTTCAATCGTGCTCCTCGTGACACACGCGATGGAGGAAGAGGGCACCCGTGTCGATGCTCCATCCGCAGTACCCTTGGCCTAGTTGGGAGCGAGGGGAAAACCCTCGAACAATGCTAAAAAACCTAACGGGCACGAACAATGGGCTTCCTGTCGTCGCGGCCGTCATAGCTGACGTTCTTCCCTCCGCGGCCACTACAGACAAGCTTCCCTCCGCGGCCGCACCGACCAGAAGGAACACCGACGATGGGTCAATGGTCGGCTGACCGCTGTGTGGTGCAGATGGGGGAGGGGCTCGGATGGCCACCGTGAGGTTAGTGCCTTGCTGGCGACCCACTAGCCTTGGATGGGTTGTTGCTGGCGAGGATGGTAGTGGGACGGCGCGGTTGAGGGTCGACTATCAGAGAGTATGAAGGGACACTGAGAGAGTGCGGGTGAGTGTGGTGTGAATGGGATGGACCGGTGACACGGGAAAGAGGAGGAGGTATGAGATGTCCCGTCATCTCCCGTGCTTCCCAACGCGTGCTGGCGAGAGCCATGAGTGGCTCCCGTAAGCCTGACTTGCAAAA